TTAATATTCTAGATATGTCTATATGTGCAATATATAAGAAACAGATATATGGATGCAAAAAAAAAAAAAGATAGATAGATTTAGATTTCAGCTTTATTTTCTTGAAAAAGATGACTAGATATTGATAATCAAAACGCTTGTGTATGTTTTTTTTTTAATGGCCATCTAGAGTCAAGCCAAAAGGCTTGATAACTTCTTCAAATTTTGGTCGTTTTCTAGGTCAAACTATTTTTTCAGCTCTAAGCATCATATGTTTGTATATTTATTTTTTTGGCAAATACATACTTATTTCTTAAAAAAATATTTTAATCATGCGATTTTCACACAAATTTTAATTTTAAATATTTTAAAAATGAGGTCCAAATATTAATCATGTAAATTGAAAGTATTTATCGCTTACATTCTTTGAGTATAAAAGTTACTCAAAAATAGTTATTTTTTTATAAAATCTAATTAAATTTACTTACTTAATATATTTTATGTAATTATAAAATAAAGACATATAAATTTAATTTATTCATAATATTAATAAAAATAATTTGTTGTATAATAAGTGATATATAAATTGTTCACCAAGGGTCATTTATATATATATATATATATATATATGTATGTATGTATGTATATGCATATATACGTGCGCGTGTAATATTCATATCCTTTGATTTAATTATAAACCAACATTTAGTGTACATATATATTTGTTATGAATTATATAATATATAAGAAACAGATATTTCCTAATAAAAATAGATATTCACAAGAGAAAATGACAATAAATTTTACTAAAATATATAAAAACAATCAAGTCAAAATATTATAATTTTTTTAAAGTCTATAAATGTCTTTTTGATATTAATAATTTTAAATTAAATAATTAAATTGTCTCTTATTTAATAATAAGTTGATATGAAAAGTTATAATTTCATATTTAATTTTTATTATTTATATAATAAAATTGTGATTGTTTAAATAAAAGTTTCGATAGGTTATTTTCAAAACTTGAATTTTAATAATAAAAAAAATTACGTAAAAAATTTTAATTTTCAATCAATTCTTATAATTTTTAAAATAAAAATTTTAATTACTTGAATAAAAATTATAATTAATTATTTTTAAAATTTGAACTTCAATAATAAAAAAAATTTTATGTGACAAATTATTATTTTATTATTTAATTTTTTCAACTCACAAGATTAAAATTATAATTCTGAAATAAAAATTATGATTAGAATTAATTATTTTTAAATTTATTTATCAATCATACAAAAAATTTATATAAAAAGTTATAATTTTTATTCAATTTTTATGATTTATAGAATAAAAATTATGATTGAAAAAATAAGTTAAATTGTTATTTTTATTTTAAATAAAAAATAATTTAATCTTTTAAATTAAAATTATTAATATCAGAAAAATACTCAAAAACTTTAGATGAATTATAACATTTTAAAATACTTAATCATTATTTATATATTTTAATTAAATTTTATTATTTTTATTTTTATTCAGTCAAATTTAATTCCTCCTTTTTTTTTCAAATAACTTTTTCTAAAAAAAAATTGGTTGATAACAAACAGAGTGAAAACCTTCCAAGGAAACAGAAGATTACAGAGTAGGAACAATAATCCTGAGAGTATTAATCTTAGTCAAGTTACGGCATCCTCCAAAATTGCAAGAGGCTATAGAATCGTAAAACCTAGAAACCCAGACGATCCAGCAAGTTTATCGGCCACAACGCTGCGGACATAATCGTGATAGCTTGCATTGAAGTGTTCGAATCGTTGTTGAGAGGGCAGAGATGGTTCATGGAGTCAACTGAAACTCGCATTTGATTCATCGTGCCGCTAATATCGTTTGGTTAAACTCTTCACTCTTCCCAATTCTCTATTTCATCGATCCAGATACTTCATTCTTCCCAATTCAATTCCTTAAACACCACTCCGCTGCATATGACGTTGCCTTTCTCGAAAGGTGTCGACTTTGTTTCATTCCAACGTTATTGCGCTTCTGGTATGTGGTTTTTCTCCAACTGTTCCGGTGGTGAAAAGCCCTGATCGGCCATCTGTTATTGCACTTCTGTTATGTGGTTCTTTTTTTTTTTTAATTAGGTTTCCTTGTTCTTGAATTCGAACACGTGTTTTGGGTTTAGGAGCAATGGCTATCGCGCCAGCTGAACCTTGATGAGTATCCTTCATGGGGATCCAGAAGTGTTGATTGCTTGGAAAAGTTGGAGCAGATTGGCGAGGGAACTCATGGGTTAGTTTTAATTTTTTTTCCCTGTTTCCTTCATGCAGTATCACTGTACTCGTTAATTGCTATTTCTGTTTCTTAGTTTTGCAATGCTTCATAGTTTAATTTTTTTAAGCATCTGTTCCGATTTTGCTTTTGCTTTCTTTATGTTGGTGTGATGTGTTTATGGTTGTCGGCAGCAGCTTATGTTTGATCATAATATCGTTTTTCTTATTTCTTTGGTGACTTACATGGGGGCTTGTAAATATATATTGTTTAAACTTCAACTTATCAGACGCTTAGTCATTTGTGGATCATAGTGGCTAAACTTTCTTAGCTAGCTGGTAACTGGCGCTGTGTACTTGTCTATTATGTTGTTCAGTATAGAAGCTCTAGCCTCAGTTTACATGCCATATGACAGCACTGACAGGACTTCCTACATGATGAATAATGATAGTGAAGAAATGCAACCAGTGAAATAAAAAGTCTGCACTGGCAGTTCATAGTTTGTTAACAATATATCCCAAGATTTTGTTGTTGATAGAGTATAATAGTGTTGTGTCCATGTAGCTTACCCACCTAGGCTTGTGGTTGTTGTTGGCGGTTCCTAGTTTGCCAAAGTCTTGCCATAAATCTATTTATGGCACCCATGAGTGGTGAAAGATCACGCCTTTACCTTTTTAATGAGAAGACCAGATAGGATTTTATGGCCAATCAATAAAACTTTGTGAAACCTTCAGTGTGGTTAAAGGCGAGCACCTAAGGCACAAAGGCGAGGCGCTAAACAGGTTCATCGCCTCTCGCATGAAGAGAGGTGATGGGGTTAGTCAGGCACTCGCCTGAAAGTGCCTTGTGCGCCTTGCACTAACAAAAGGCGCTCGCTTGAGGGCGCCTGGTTGAAGCGAGTTGAAGAACAAGAGAATAGAAGATGAGTAGATGACGGTCGATCACTGGGCATTAAAGAAGAGACGAAGGCGACCAACTAGGACTGGGTATTGAAGAAAAGAAGACAATGACTGACTGGAACTGAGTTTTGAAGAACAAAAAAAGGTGAGGACGAGGACGATGTTGATTGGATTTGGAAGAAGAGCAGATGAGGACAACATTGACTACTTTAATCAATTGCTATTGGGTAGCGTATTGAAGAAGATGATCAGTTTGCTCTTTTTTTAATAAATAACCCTTTAAAATATGATATAAAATATGGAGAGTTATATGATATAACTTAGAAAATAGAGAAAATTTAAATTTAAAATAAGGGAGGACAATTACATAATAGAAAAGATTTAAATTTATTGCAAGATATAATCTTTGATTGAAATCTTAAACTTGACACAGAAATTATTGTGACCTTGGGAAAATTTTTAGGAAGTTTAACCCTAACTTATACTTTTTAGGTTATAAAAGAGAACCTATTATGACCCCTTAGAAGTTCAGACCAAAGCGGCAACACCTAGAGTCTACAGCACATGGTAGCGCCTTCCTTCGTTCAGGCACATGCCTTTTTAGTGCCTTGCGCCTAAGGCATTTTATACGTTTTGCGCCTTCAGTGTGCCTTTCGCCTTTAACAACATTGGAAACCTTAAAAAACTTGTCTGTACTCTTTAGAACTGTCTTTGACCCCTGCTATAACTTACCAAGCACCTTAATAAACTATGTTAACTATGTTAATCTAATTGTCCTTTGCCCTTCACCACCTTCAGATGAACTTTTATAATGATTTGGCCTTTGCTGTGAGCTCTCAAGAGGGCTTTAGATGTTGGACCTTAGAAATTTGGCTAAAGTCAGGCCATTAGCCCAACCCAAATTGGCCTTTGATGTGAGTTCTCAAAAGCGCTTTAGGTGCGGGACCATTGAAATTTGGCAAAAGTCAGGCCCTTATCCCAACCCAAAATCAGGTCTATTTGTGATGTTTTGCCTTTGTGCTCGAGGACTGCATTCAGTTCACAAGTTTTATTTAGTTGCTGGATGGGGTGTTTGACTACTTGATAATTTAAAAGGTTTCTAGATGAGTTTTGTTGTCTATTGCATTCACCATCTTAACTCATGAATCAGATTTATTATCTTTAGCATTTTCTCTATATTACAAGGATACATATGGAACATTATTATATTTGAAGCTATTTTTCAGTTGTCACTAAATCTTATAGTTTGATATGTTTTATGATTCGTAATTAAAGCATGCGCTTTCCGATTCACGATACTTATCATGATTGGAATCCTATAGAATTGGTACAGTGTATGCAACCAGTTCTGTATACAATTTTGCAATAGCTTTGTTAAATATGGGGGAGGGCGAACAGCCACAATCCTTGGGCAGGGTTTCACGGTAGAAGTTCTGTATTAAGTATTTTGATTTAAGTTCTTTTCTTTCTAAAAGGTGGAATAGAATAAACCCTTGAAGAGTAATGATCATACATCTGTAATGCATCAAATGTCCCATAATAGGTTCCAACTTATAGATTTGGAATGGAAGACACCAATTACTTATTATAGGTTTCAACTCCCAAGAAAAATAATTTGGGTTGTAGGTGTAAGAATTGCACTGCTAGAACTTTTTACTTACTTTGTAATATTTTCTATTCTTAAATTTCCCTTTTAAGGCATATGCTTGAGTTATAGCCTGCAGGTAGAGTTGTTTGCCTATTTCTGCTCCAAAATATCTTGTTTCTGGGTGTATTCTTCATTGCTGACACTGCAACTGCAAGAAGGAACTGATCTATACCTTTGTACATGGCTAGAGAAATCAGAACAGGTGACATTGTTGCTTTGAAGAAATAAGAATGGACAATGAGAGAGAGGGTGTGTCTCTTCCATCACCTTGCTGAATGTTATTTGCTCTATTATGGGTGCATACGATAATTCTGTTTACAGTCCAGTTGATGTTTTCACGATGAGAATTTCAAGTAACACTTCGTAATTGAGAAAGTATTATTGGTTGTTCTCGTCTGCTGCTAATTTTGTATCACAAGGTTCTTCCCTGAATTTTTGCTTTTTTGTTGCAGTTTTTTATAACTGCTATTCGTGAATTCAAAATTCTGAAGAAATTACAACATGAAAATGTTATTAAGTTGAAAGAGATTTTGACATTGTCACTCCCAAAAATCAAGATATGACTGGTACAGGACATGTGTAAAAGCCCACATCCTTTATGCCTTCAAAGGGAAAACATCTTATTTTTAACCACAAACGCACTTCTGTTATAGAATAGAATTCTTTCAATATTATTAAATATTTTTAGTTGCCAATTTTTGGTAAAAATTTTGACAAAATCTTCTTTATAAATAGAATCTTTTAAGGGAAAAATTTTTTTAGAAGTGAACTCAGTTTAATTAAAGAAGAGCCTTGCTCCACGCCAACAAGTCTTGCGACATCACTCAATAAGGTAATGATCCTGCTTATGGTTTACATAGAGCATATAGAACTTAATTTATAAATTATAATATATAAAATTAGGTTCGACAACAAATAAAGATTAATGGAAATAGGTTTTCAATTCCCAATTGGTAATCATTAATCAACTCCACAATGTTCAACTAGAGGTACAAGGCTAGTAACATATTATCAGAAACCAAAAATAAATTTTTTTAGTAAAAAATATCCCAACAATAAAATTAAAAGAATCAAGATGAGTAAACTAAAGTAATTATATACAAATTAAAGAGAGAACATTAGGTATAATATAATCACTGATCTTAGAGATTAAGAGATTCTATATAACATTAAAAATATTGAACTATTAAATTTATAATAACAAAGCAACCTTAATACTTGTGAAATAAAATAGATTAATAAATAAATAAAAATAGTAACATTTGTTATTCAAAATTAATGAAGTGTATATTCACAAATCAATTAAAAACTAATATTCTAAGGACTTTGCGGAACAAGTAACAAATATGAACACACAGTCCACGAGGGTAAATAATCAAAAGCGATTTAGGCCATGAAAATAAAGGTGAATACATAGTTCACAAGGGTAAGTAACTAAACGCAGCCTCAACGATGAAAATAAATGTGAATGCATTGTCTATGAGGATAATACTAACCAAATGCGACTCAAAGCCTTGAAATCAAATACAAGTATGAAACCCATGAATAACAAACGTGGTTGCGACGCTCAGAAAAGTTAAACTAGCTAGTTATAACTATGGCCTGTTAAGGACTAACAAAATTATCATTAGCAATCAACGTTTTACATATAGTCCTTTTAAAATTCATTTTCAAACATGCGAGAAAATAATTACTATTAAAAGTATAATTTTTTTTATCAATATCAAACTTGCATGAATCATTTAAAATATCAATCATTCTCAATATGAAAATTCATAATTGTCTTATAAATTTCTTCATCATGGATAATTTCCATGATTGTCAATGTTTATCAAATAAAAGATCACTGAAACTTGTAAAAATATTTTCTTGAATCTAAAGAATATCTTTTGCATGAGAATGTACATACATGTAAAAAAATTTGTCTATCTTTCACCATACATGCTATAACTTTAGGAACTCATTTAGGGCTTGTTTGGTTGTCATTTTCATTTTTTGTTTCCAAAAGTTGTTTTATAAAACAATTTTAAAAACTGTTTTTGAGAACAAACATAAAAACTTATTTAGTAATAGTAATCCAAAAACAGTTTTATAAATTTATGAGATGGGTGATTCTATTTTTTCGAGACAAAATTATAGCGTTTGCCATTAATTAGAACAATTCTCATTTCTTGATTCCCGCTTTTTCTTTGTAAAATTAAAAAAATAGGAACAGAAACAACTAAAAGTTGTTTTGGTTTTCTTGTATTTAAAAGCAAAAAATTAAAAACTGTTTTCAAAACAACAATTAAAAAATAATTAACCAAACAAGTTTTTTGTTTTAAAAATATTAAAATAAAAAAATAGCTTTTAAGAATGGTAAAAAAACAGGCCCTTAATCAACAAATAATTCAATATTCGAAATAGTACACATGATCTATTTAAGAAAAATAATATTCTAATAAAAAAATTATTGATAAATTAATTGAAATATTATCTACTTATCATAATATTCTCAAATATATAATTTATTAAATTGTCCGCACTTTAATTCTCTAATGTCCAAATATTATTATTTCTTTTATACACTTTTTAAATTCAAAATTCTTCAATTCAACAAATTTAGAGAATTGAAAAAGAAAATCTTAATATCAACCTTTCACAAATAAAATGCTATATTGGGCTTAATTAATAAATCTTTGACAAATATATAAAAACACTCAACGTTTCCAAATCTGCCTGTAGAAAATAAAAAACTTCTATTATGATATAATTAATATTATCAGTTGTGTCTATTTAATTTTCATAAATTTCATTCCTCAAACATTTTATCAACCAGTCTGTTTGAACTTAAAAGCTAACAGAAGAAACAACAAACTTTGTTCTTGAATTATTGACCTTCAAAATTTTCTAACTACATTTTCATCCTTGTATTACAGAGAATAATTGCCTATTATAACAATAAACTCGACAATAATACACTTATCACATTCATTTACTACCAAAAACTAACTTCGTCTGATCAAACAATTTATCAAATACCTTATGTGCATTCAAACTTAAATCATACAATAACCATTTTATTCTTTAAATATCTTTCCCAAAAGTTTTCTAAACATCCATATAAATTTACCAGACTTTTCAAATTTCATTCATTCAACTAAAATCAATTTAAATTCAAAGAAATACCAAATCTAAACATATATTCATCATTTAGTGGCCACCAAAAAATATATAACATAGTTACCTATCAAAAGTGAAATTCTTAATCTTCAATTTAAACTTGTTAGAACGTTCAATAATAAAGCAAAATTTCAAAATTTCAGCAATCAATTCCTAATCAAAATTTTGGCAATTCCCGAATCACAATACATACCCAAATTTGACGAGGAAGAGATTGAAAGTTGGCTCACACCATCGAAGCAAAGAGGAAATAAGGGAGGAGATCTAAGCTCCCTCCACCCAAAATTGCAGTGACGGAACATGAAGATGACTACTAATCTTTCTTATAACATCTACTTCAAAATTTATAAAAATACACTCAATTTTTTTTTTTATATTTTGGAGTTATTACAGACATCGCGAGGTAAAGTTTTTAAATATCTAAATATTTGTTGTTATATAATTTTCCCCTTGCTATTAAAATGACTGGTCTTCTTATCCCCAGGCCCCGAGAAAGATGAGCAAGGGAAGCCAGGGAAGACTAAAATGAATTATTATTAAAATGCGAATGGATTATTGTTTTTTTTTTTCAAATAGAACTTGTTGGTGGTCCTTATCTATAATTAATTTTTTTGAGGGGAGCTGGCTGTAATTCTCCTTTTATTAAATTGGGATAAAGCAACTTTTAATCCCTTACATTTTGGAATTCTATTAATTTAGTCCCTTAACTTTAATTCTATCATTTCAATCCTTAATGTTTGCTTTGATTATCAAGTTATTGATTTAAGCTTTGTACGAAAAAGTAGCCTTAAAAAACTAATGTGGAAATTAAATTGCTAATGCAGGAATATACACATGGATTAAATATGCCCTAGTAAAAGTGTATAATATTAAATTATAAATTATAAAATAATAAAGTAAATAACAAATAAGTAATTAGGACTTGATAAATTTGGTTGATATGTTTTATTTAATCAACATGCATATTCCCACATTAGCAATCTAATTTCCACATAAATTTTTTTTAGAGATATTTTGTTTTACAAAACTTAAAGGAGTAACTTGATAATAGAAGTAAACATTAAGGATTAAAATGATAGAAATTAAAGTTGAGGGACCAAATCAATAATACTCCCAAACATAAGGGACTAAAAGTTACTTTATCCCTATTAAATTCTACAAAGTGAAATCAGATGCATGATTACAGGACTTTAACCAAATTCAAATCTGAGTAGGATGGTGGCAATGTTTTAAGAACCGGACAAATGAATGAGTTACATTGATGACTGCTGAAATTATTAACTACTCAGTTTGAACTAAAAAATCATTTTCCTCACTAATATCATATTGGGTGATGAAGTTGCAATCCCTCATTACATTCCTCGTTAGTTTGAATTTTAGGGAGGAATAAAACATTCCTCTTGCTACATCGTATTTTTCTAATAAGGAATTAATATCATGTCGTGCCTTGACAAAACCACAAAACCACTCCTCCAAATATGTTATAATAAATAAGATCGGAAAGAGTATGTGTAGTCTTGCGAGCTTGTACATTATTCTTGTGTGGCTTAATCACTCCTCCAAATGTCTTTCAAGCTTAGCCCAATGCGCATAAAGCGACAAAGACTTGAATGCTCGTTTATAGAGTGGCTAGTTCATAAAGACTTACATTATTGTTAGCCTCTGGAAACGCAAAAACAAACATGCACATCACAATGACAAGAATTATTGAATTGGATCAGCCAAATTTGTAACGTGATGAACTAGATTTGAATCCTTGTTTATTAAAAAAAACATTTATATTTAGTATCCGATCATATCTTAAATAAGATGAACTAGGTTTGAATCCTTCACTCCGTCCTTAATTTATCTCTCTGTCTCTTCTATATATGATCTCTAATTGTAGAGTTTTGTATTACAACAATTAAGAAAGCTTATACAGCTTTGGTTGAAAGCTTATACAATGATTAATAAAGGATTTTTATCCCTTTTGATTTTCAAAAAGAAACTCCTCCCATACAAGAGGAAATAGGTGGAAAAGAACAAGAAAGAGAGGAATATAAATTTTAGAGAAAATTACATATAGCTTCCATATAAAGAAATTAATTAC